TCCGTGTCTTACACCCCAAACTCCCAAAGTGAATGATTCTCATGTGGAAATTTAAGAATGATGTATTAATACATTACTTTATTTCTTTCTACAAAATCGCCCAGCATTAGTGTTGGAAATTTAAGAATGATGTATTAATACATTACTTTATTTCTTTCTACAAAATCACCTATCTCATTCTACAATGCATCCTTTTCAAGTGCTTTGTGGATATGGTATGATGTAGCCCATCCATTCCAATCAATCTTAAGCTTTTAATTTTAGCAAGTGTTTTTGCTTTTGATATCTGGATAGTATAAATCATTTTACTCGAGCAATCTAGGTGCTCTACTTTCATGTGCCTGCTTAAGTCCAGTGATTGGGCAAACGTTTGTGCCCAGTGGAGAGTTCATAGTTGTACGATAATTTGTCTGTAATTTTAAATTACTATGCTTGTTGAAAGTTTTGGTTAGTTATACAAGTCTCGATGAAATTATTCATTTCTTTGCATATTTATAAGGAGAATTTACTTAAATAGCACTAAAACATAATGACTTTCCCTAAATAGCATTACATGTGTTTTTTTCCCAAAGTAGCACTTTTAGTCATTATCCATTAGTCATTATTCAAGTAAATGTTTGCCATCACGGGACATTATAGAAATTATTAAGTGCTATTTGGGGAATACAATAATTTAAGTGCTATTTAGAGAAATGACTTAGGTTTTGGTGCTATTTAGTGCAAATATTTCTATTTATAATAAGATAGCTTCATCTTTAATTTTTTCAATCAACTGAATGGTCCGTACTGAATTTAAGACGGACAAATTTTGAGTGTGAAATGATCTATTTAAGAATAGATAACTTCATTCAAGATTTGTAGGCCGTTTCAGAATTTCAAAGCTGAAACATACCTTACTAAATGAGGGCCTTAATTATCAGAGAGAGCTTTATAGCAATAAACCTTAGAAATGTTGTCTGGCAAAGTAATGTGCAACATTATTCTTTTTATCTCCTTTGTGTGCATGTGTTTATATGAGAGAGAGAGAGAGGAGGGAGGGAGATTGGCGATCGGGATGTGGGGTAGGATGGTTGAGTGGGTCTACAATGTGCAATACCAACTTCACCCCTCCCCCCCCACACACACACATCACTAAGAGTCTGGTCTGAATCTGATCATTCAGTAGGCTGTTATATGCAACGAATCCCTGACCTCTCTTTTAGACGATGTACAATCCTTACAACAATTTGTCAGTGATACTGATGGAAGTTCAAATTGGATGTGTTCCTCTCCTCTTAGGCTTAATTTGGGTTTTTGTTTCATTACCTCATTTTTAAGAGCTTATTTCTTTATTGCCGCTCTTTTAGGCCGTTTTTAATCTCTCATTCTTCTCCTGCATCGATTTTGTGTGCGTGCCGTAATTTGTCCCATATCATTTATCCAATTTGCCATCATTTTTTATCTTCCAATTTAACCTTGATTGCTCGCACAGTAAAATTTGGAGGATGGATGTGGTTGATTCACAATGAGAAGTGGGGATGCTGATCTTGTCTTCATGAAATTTGAAAATTTACTAATGGGTGTAGGATGAATGGTTTGCGTGATTGCTATATATGAATCTGTCTAATTCAATTAAGTTTCTGCGTTCTCACTGAGATCTTTTCCTCCTAGTTGGTCGAATCTATTAGCAATGCCTTCTATTCACTGATATGTTTCATTTAAGATCTATTAATTGCTGTGCTCTCAAGAAATTGATACCAAATTAAACAAAAAACATTGTCTCCTTCTAATGATTTTTGTCAATGGGGTAGAACTTTCAGATGCCTATCCTCTTGTCTCCTTGTAATGATTTTTGTCAATGGGATTTATGATTTAAATGTTGATGAAATGTGAGTTGGCCGGCATAGCCCTTTTCTAATTTTCCCGTTTATAATGAACTTGTAGTATGAATTGAATAGGCAATGGATTAATGAATTTGCACTATCATATCTTTGAGTTTACAGGTCAGGGACTGTTTTGTTGTCAACTTTATTTGCTGAAGTCTCGGTTAAAAATCTGGTGGAGACAATTTTGAAGGAAGCTTGATAGGAAGTTTTGTCGGTACAGAGGACGTGGATATGAGAGTAAGAGTATGCTTGCGGTTCTGCTTGTTCTTAATCTCCATGAGTCTGGCATGTGTTCCAGTGCTGGTTGTTATTGCAATAGAGAATGTAGCAGTGGTATGATCCATGGATTTCATGCACCGACCATGTGATGGCCTGTTCGCAGCACACTAATGATCAGGTAAAGTGAAAGGTTCACGAAATTCATCATTTTTTAATCTGATCACTGTAAACTCTTCCTTGCAACTCCTCTTATGTATCACATCAGCATCATATCTTGGTTGTTACTTCCATTGCCTTTTCTTGTATAGTTTAATGGCATAATGTTTTTTTTCAGAAGCTGAGGCGGGGAGATTTCTTTTTTTTTTTCTTTTCTAGCATATGGGGAGGCATTTCTAATCATTTTGATCCCTTTTTCCCTCTTCTTTTCAGGTATTTTTTCTTTCTAAAATGTGTGTTTTTGTTATTGCTTTCCTGCACTGGCACAGATAGCGTACTAACATCTGACCGGTATATACATATTTTCAGGAAAAATGGATAACACTGCCACTATTGCGCGCGAGCTTGCTCAGCTGGGACAACAACTGGAACGCGAGATGCAACTGCTTCATCAACTCCGCCAAGCACCACCACGTGCCCATTCGGAGTTCATCGACTGTGCCATCAGGGTGATGATGATAAATAGAAGGTTGCGCAAGCTTAACCAGAAAATTGGGAATACCCGTCCCTAGACGTTTTTGTGCGGTCCAGTTTAAACTTCTTGGATTGCTCGTTTTTGTAGTCTAAACCGAGGTTTGGACCAAATTTACATTGTAGTTGAACGTGATTCCGCTTGAATTTCGTTGAGTACTCGGATATATTACGGTATGTGACATCTTTTCTTTTTTCATACTATGGAAGTATCTTAGTCGTATTTTGTTTCTAATGAAGCTTGAATATCTAAACTGAACCGCATTTGTTTTAGTAAAATGCTCAAATTAATGTCAAACAAAGCCATAATGATATCATTATAGCAATATTCATAGTAAATATAGAGCACAATATTAGTACGTCCGATGTCCATGAAAATTGGAAGTAGATTTTAAAAATGCTTCACATATTTGATATTTTAGGAAATTTTTTAATGATCTTTTGTACTCCAAAAAATTGATGCCTTGTAAGATTTAAAAGATTGACATGTCTTCTCTCTAAAATTTACTCCCTTGGGAATGAACTTTTCATTTTAACTTTTTTATTTTTATTTTTTTAGAGTGTTGACTTGAAGATGAAAATGCCCAAAATACCTTTGCATCCCCACCACTTCATAGTTCCCCCACTAGCAGCCACCACTGCCCCAGCCCCCAGCATCGCCTGCCCTAGCCTCGATAGCTGACAGCCCCATCATTACCGCCTTTGCTCTCATCATCGCCGTCAGCTCTCACCAGAATCGCCACACCCCCACCACCATCGCACCAACCCCACCGTTACCACCCGCCACCATCGCCATCTCTGGGAGAATTGAAAGAGAAAAAAGAAGGCGGAGAAAGATGGGAATAAGAAGAGTAGAAGAAAGAGGAGGATGAGGAGGTAAGTTTTGATGATTTGATTCAAAGGAGTTTAAAAAATTAGCAAGCTTAAGTTACAGAAAGACTCAATATAGCAGAAGACACAAGGATAAGCAAAATTAAATACTTTAATAAAGTTCATTCAGAGAAGTAAATTCATAACAAATTATTCAATGAAATTGAATGACCCTAAGTCAATTTTTTATGCAGAAATATAATTCTAAATCCAAAAATGGGAAGTCTTCTTTACCCTCTATAGGTATATATTGTGCACAGATTGATATGTTTGAATAATTCTAAAAAATATTGTTCATTAACTGTTTAAGTTTGCTTTGCTATCAAATGTTTGAATAGGTATGTATATAAATATATAATGAATTAAAATATAAAAAGTAGACTATTATATACTCCCTCCGTCCCAATTTATATTGCATGTTTCGGTTTACGATGTTTGACTGAAATTATTTTTATATCATTTTATATGAAAAACGGTGTAGAATTAAAAAATAAAAATTAAATATTAAAATACTACATTAAAAGATCTACAAAATTAGTGGTGACATGCCTATTTTATTCTATCAAATGACTACCAAAAAAAGAGAAAATGCTACCAAAAAGAGAAATTATTTTTAAATTATTTTATATGAAAAACGATGTAGAATTAAAAAATAAAAATTAAATATTAAAATACTACATTAAAAGATCTACAAAACTAGTTGTGACATGTCTATTTTATTCTTTCAAATGACTACCAAAAAAAGAGAAAATGCTACCAAAAAGAGAAATTATTTTTAAATTATTTTATATGAAAAACGATGTAGAATTTAAAAATAAAAATTAAATATTAAAATACTACATTAAAAGATATACGAAACTAGTGGTGACATGCCTGTTTTATTCTATCAAATGACTACAAAAAAAAGAGAAAGAAAATGAATGAAATGGTGAGTAGTAAACATGCAATTTAATTTGAAATGGGGGGAGTAATATTTTTAATACTTTTTACTACGGAGTATAATATTTTAAAGAATTTCATTGGTCAACATATTACTTGAAAAACAAATGGGAGTGTTAAAAGAGAATAGAGTTATTATTCATCTGATTAACCGCATGGAACTATAAAAAAAAACTACTACCTTCGTTCCTACTGGTATCCGTGCAGTTACCATAAAGATTTTTAAAAATCATACATAAAGTGTTGTATAAAAATGTACTTTGTGCAATCAACTAACTTTATTTTTTAGTCTATTTATTATAACAGTCTAAATTTTGATGTAAAATTGATATGTCATTAACAATATATAATTTGATTGAATATGATCTGAATGGACATAATCTGATTGGTTTAGTGTAGTATGAATGAAACTGATATAATTGGACTTGTTCTAATTTAATTGTAATTGGAAATACAACAAGCTAGTTCTGTAACGCTATGATGGAAGCTCATAATCAATGGAGGCCCTCCCGAGCACATAGATAATAAGGATCCCGAAACCATTTCGGACTGCAAAGATCCAATCGCCTATTCTTCTTTTGAGTGGCATTCCGATGAATTTTCAGCTTCGTTTTGTTCCGATTGATTTATGCTAGCCTTGGCATCGGCCAGGAATTTAACATCTGGCCTGTGTTTGTCTGAGGGTTCCCTCATTGCCATACAAATGTAAAATGCAATAACCACATTGACTGAAACGACAGCAAGGATGCCGCTCAGCAATGTCATAGAGTAGGGTGACATATCACTCACACCTGTTCCGAACGAAGCAGAGCATAATAACAAGATGAGGTATCGAAAAATGAATTCAACAATGATCAAGAACACAATGGGTATATTAAAGATTGCCTCTCAGCTATAGTATCGCCACATCTTTTATATCATATTTCCTCACCTCAACCAATCATTTCCTGCTATAACAAATTTCACTGCATTTCGGGTTTGAAAACAGTTTAATAAAACAGTTTAACAAATTTCACTGCAAGATCTTTGAGATTCTTCGTATTTTTAAGTCTGTTGAATAAGAGAGCGGTGTTTACCGGGAAACAAATTATGGTTAAACCCATATAGAATTGCAAGAGGAACTGCCCACATACACATGGAAGCGATGAAAAACTTCATTATAATCTCTGCCATGGAATATTCTGCCTGTGAACATTGAATATAGTAAATCATGTCATCTCATCTTTAATTAGCCGCTCGGGTATTGAGAAAAATAGGTCAGTGGAGAACCAGCAATAATCATCATTTCAAAGCAAATTATCCAAAGATGCGATTCAGAAATAATAATTACTCAATAACAACAGCATACCAAATAATGGAAATCAGTTATGGCAATAAAATATGAATACGCATTTCCAACTCTCTTTGGCTCAATAAGATCAGAAGAAAAAGAAGTTAAATATGCCCTCATATATTATAGGAGGGCCGTGTTTGGTTTGCATGGGAGAGAAAGGATATGGATGGTGAGGATTAAAAGGTTTCCGTAACACTTTTCCTCCCTCCCCTCCAACCAAACACAACAAAATTAAACATTTCGGCTAGGCTGTTTGGTAACTAGGAAAATCCAATCCTACAGTTAAAAGGCGAGGAAGTGATTGTCATATTTGGGACGTGGATTTGAATGACAAAATCAAGATAAAATTTACCAAACTTTTAAGCTGGATTCTTTTCACTTTGTTCAAATAACTAAATAAGTTACACATCTATAGAATTGCTTTGCTACAAACGTAGTTAATTGAAAAACATAAACCCTAAACAAGCCTAAAAGTTTAAAAATTTGAGCAGTTGAGTGCTGTTTTTACAGCAGTCTAACACCGTGATGTCTTGTTATAGTGGCAGGGTGGCAGACTGGCAGCTGCTGGATGAGCAATGGTGGTGCTCAAGCAGCAGCTGCTTTGACGAGTGGCCTTTCTCCTCCTCTTGACGAACTGGATCGGTGGGAGAAGGGGGCGGGTTATGAAGGTCCGGTCTGGCTGCCTTCCTCAGTAAGGGTGACGACAGATTGAGCAAATCAATACTGATTGTTCTAATTACCCTTATCTCTTCTGCAGTTGAATGAAGATGGCAGATGATTTTCTTGAAGTTTCCTTGTTTTGTTCAATTTTGAGGTTGCTGTGAATTGTCCAGAAATGTATCCGAACTGACTGAAAAAGTTTCACACCCTCCCTCCTCAAATTAGACAATTTCACTTTACGTCCCCGTTTGGCATCATCGTTAGAGGTTAGCATTGGCGTTAGAGGTTAGCACTGACCTCCTCAAAAGCTACCGTTAGTGTTTTCAGAATTAATCTACACTATCAAAATTTTATTTAAAACGCTAATCGGAAATGTAGTTCCCAAACAAGGCTTATAAAATTTAAAAAAAATATTGAAAAGTTAAAGATAAAAGGTGAATAGTGTGGTCAAAATTTATTTCGAATAGAAAGAAGTAAGGTTGTCCACATATTTCTTTCAAATAATAAATTTAGAGACGGATGAAAATTGAAGAAATTCAATGTATTCTTCCCGTAATATGCAGTCAAAAATTAAAAAGTTTGACCACAAAAGTCAAATTGGGAAGTTAATTTTAGGACACAGGGAGTAAAAAATTGACAAAGAACGATGTGATTTGATAAATGGATTCATTGCATTCTTGGGAGCTTGCATAATGCGATACTTCTTGAGTGTTAGGGTGTCAAAATGTGATCCTTGAATAAAAATTACTAAAGGGTAAACATGCACAACTAATACTGATTGGATCACTTAACACTCTCAATTGAAAAATGAGATGCAATAAATAAAGTAACATCCAAACCAAAGGTAGGGTCAAGCCGATCTCACGTCTAAGGACATAAACTTCATCGGCCTAAAATAAGATCACTAAGCTAAAAAAAACCTTGGTTCTAAGATCACTAGATCAAGAATATGTTCATAATAAGACAGAGACATTTTCAAATCAATAATTCTATATGAGTATACCTTAAATTTTAATTCAAAACTATTTGAACTTGATACAATTTGATAATAATTGGTCTTATTGAATATTGAAGTATACATCCTTATTTATAGGGATTATATGAGAGAGTTCTAATCATAGTAGGAGAACAGCTATGGTAATAATACAATAAGGAAAATAAAATGACAAGGAAAGTAATTAAAATTAATATTTGTTACCTACTATCTAATATTCCTAATATCCTCGCAACCAGATCATCAGTAACGAGGGCAACTTGGAGCACATGTACCGAAATTGAGCTGACGGAAGCTGTTTTGTGAGAATAACCTCTAGACGTAGAAAGTCATATCTTTGTTGCATGACGAACGAACTTGAAATTACGTTTGCTAAGTTTTTTTCTTGGTGAGAGTGTTGACGATTGGAGCGAGGGCGAGGAGTTTCTTTTTTTCTTTGTCGGTCGTTCTCTACTTTTCTATCGTTTTCCATGCTCTCTAGCTCTAGGAAAAATACAGATGAATGCAACTTTCCAGTTCTTCGAATCAACATGTTTTTTTGGAAGAAAGAAAAAATAGATTTTTTTGGAGAGAAAGAGAGAGGAATAATGGACGGAAGCTATTAGGCACGCTCGTCGAGATCAGTCGGTGACACCATGCTTAAGGATGATCGACCGCCGTGAATAGATACTGGCAATATGCTCGATCTTTAAAAAAATTGGGTTTTAGAGAACTTTAGCTCTGATACCATGATACAATTTGATAATAATTGATATATTGATAGGGATTACATGAGCGAGTTCTAATAATAGTAGGAGAACAACTATGATAACAATACAATAAAGAAAATAATATGATAAGGAAAGAAATTAAAAATAATATTTATTTCCTATAATCTAATATTCCTATTAGAACTAATTAAAAAAATTAAAAGAAGAGAAAAATAAAAACAAAACTGTTTCCTTAAAATGCAATTCATTCATCATTCTAAATAACTATTAATACTCAAAAAGATGGAGCCACTCAAATCAGACATTGGTTTTTTAAACGATCAACTATAACTAGTTAAATGATGAAAATTGAGAAGGGAAATAAAGAGTAAACACATAAAGTTAGGGATTAAATCATACCTGGAGTACTGGATGGTGGTGCCGTGGAGGGCGGAGCCAGCGGCGCTGTGCGGTGGTGCGTCTTCGGCGTAGCTCTTCAGAAATCGGAGGTCAGCAGGTCGCGACCCGTGCGAATGGCGATTCACTTTGGGCTTTCCGCTATAGGGAGCAGACACACATCCCCTTTCCTTATTTTCTTTTTTGGGCATTTTCATTTTTTAGGCCCAATCACATATCCTATCTTATCCTATACATACATACATACATACATACATACATACATACATACATACATACATACATACATACATATATATATATATATATATATATATATATATATGGAACGTCTAAAATGACACCAGTTACTTATACACCAGTTCGTTTGGAGTACCGTAGGTACCCCAAACGAACTAGTGTAAGCAACTGACATATAAATAACTGGTGTCATTTTAGACGCTCCATATGTGTGTGTGTGTGAAAGAGAGTTGAGTTACATAGTTGTGGTGATGACACACAAAAAATTGCTACCAGATACTCTATGTTTTGTGGTAAGAACTGTCGGGTACCCCCAATTTTGAAAATATATACCCAGGTACCCTGAATTATAAAAAAACACACCAAGAATAGATTTTTCATCCTTTCTCCGTCAATTTCATCATCATCATCATCAATCCACCACCACCATCTCAATAGTCTCTGTTTTTCCTCCTCCTCCTCTTCTTCTTATTTTCTTCTTCTCCTCCTCCTCCTCCCTCCACTTCCAATCTTCCAACCCCCCCACCCCTCACTCTTACTTCATCTTCTTCTCCTTCTATTATTATTATTATTATTATTATTATTACTATTACTATTACTATTACTATTACTATTACTATTACTATTACTATTACTATTACTATTACTATTACTATTACTATTACTATTACTATTACTATTACTATTACTATTACTATTACTATTATTAAAAATAATAATGAAACTATTATTTAATTTTTTAATAATAATAAAAGAAGAATAAGAAAATATTACAGAGTACTTCATAGTAATAATAAATAATAGAGGTAGAAGAAAATTATACTTTGTAATAAATAAATAATAATAATTAGTTTTAATATTAAAAATTATTAATATTAATTTTGAATATTAACAATAAACATTTAGAAGAATAAAATAATACTTCATAATAAATAATAATAATACGTAGTCATACTAAGAATAATGATTTTTTTGAAAACCAAAAAAATGATGATGATGATCATAATAATAATAATAATAATAATAATAACAATAACAATAACAATAACAATAACAATAATAGAAAGAGAAGCAGAAGAAATAAGGGTGAGGGGTGGGGGGGTCTGGAAGATCGGATGTGGATGGAGGAGGAGGATGAGGAGGAGGAGGAGAAGAAGAAGAAGAAGAAGAAGAAGAAGAAGAAGAAGAAGAAGAAGAAGAAGAAGAAAGAAAGAAAGAAAGAAGAAAAATAAAAAGAAGAAGGGGAAGAGGAGGAGGAAGAACGAAGAAGATGGAGAAGGTGGCGGGGGACTGATGATGATGATGAAATTGACAGAGGAACTTGGATAGACGAAGAATGGATGGAAAATCTCCTCATGGTATGTTTTTTTATAATTCAGGGTACTTGGAGTATATTTTAAAAATTGAGGGTACCCGATAGTTCTCACCACAAAACACGGGGTACCTGCAACAATTTTTTTGTGATGACACGTGTCATGCCACACGTACATACTACTGACATGTGTCATACCACATGTAAATCATAAGACACATGTCACTCCAAACATGCATATTTAATTTTGTATTAAATCATTATTTTTATTATATTTTATAAACCATTCCCTTTCCAACAATAAAAAACCCTTATGTTTGTTCTTTTTTATTAAATTTTCACTTTCTAACTATTTTAGAAATATTTCTTGTTGTTTTAACACATTTTTTCAATATGCACAACTATTTTATAATATTAAAATTGTTTATAAAATTTCTTAATTAAAAAACAATATTCTTATAATTTTTAAAATTATCCATCATCTCAAAAGAAACTATAATATACAAATTTGATCACACATGCATCTTTATTAAATTCATAACATATTTTAATCTTTTGTCTTATTACATTATTTATTTTATTACATATTTTTTAGCAAACTAAACAAAGTGAAAGTTTAATTGAAGGATTACATGTGGCACACGACAGATATGCATTCTCTAATCACGTGTCATTACTTAATTGATTTATTTGACATTTTTATTTTAATTTTTATTAATTAAAACAATTTTCATTATTTTATATATGATGACCATTACATTTGTATAAAACTTTAAAACAGTTATAAATTATTTATCAAACACATCATATATCATTATTAAAGAATTTAAAATAAATGGTATTTTACTTTTAGATGTAAAAATTTAGAATATATGTGAGCCCGTGTGGGTTAATACTAATTATATATTATGTCCATATATCTATTTCTCAATGACCACTTATTAGGATCTTATTCCTTAAAACTTAGATTTTAAACTTCCATTCCCTTTCAGTTCTCTCAAATTCTTTCAATTTGTTCCAATTTTTTCTAATTTTTTGTTCAGTTTTTCCAATTATTTTCATTTTCTTCAAATTCTTTCTATTTTCCAAATAATTACTATAAAAACGATGTATTTTTAATATTATTATTATCATTGAAATAGTGATTATTATTATTAGTAGGAAAAATTATCCAAAATAATTTCAACTTTACCTAGTCTTTCTTAGATAATCCAACCTTTCAGTGTGATACAGAATAATCTCAACTTTACTGAAATTTGTGAGTTTTGGATCGCTGTTAAGAACGGGATAATGAAAATGCTTGTTTTGTGCAACAAAATGAAAGTTGGGATTATTTTTGATGAATTTTCAATTTTTTTAAGATTTTCATTTAAATTTTTAAAATTACTTTCTACATCCATCATTTCTTTTTCCTTTTATAAAGATTAGTCTTATTTTAAAAAAATAAAAATAATAGATATAAAAAATAAAAAAATGAGAAAAGTAACTAAAATGATGCAAAAAATAAAATAAATAAGGTAATCGATAGAAACTAACTTGAAATTGTTATGAAATAAATAAAAATATACGGAGTGGTGTGTTTTATTATTTTACGCACTATAAAAAGTATTAACGTAGCACTTCTTATTTTTTAGAAAATATTATCTAGAATAATTCCAACTTTATCAGACGGCTTGTTCTTTTAAAAAATATGTAGTACATTAAGACTCCGTATAGTGTGTAAAATGTTAAAACCCACCACTGCGTATATATTTATTTTATTTCTTACTAGTTTTAGTTTAATTTCTATTGATTACATTATTTATTTCATTGATTTTGTATGGTTTTAGTTTTCATTTTCATTGCTTTTTATATCTATTTTTTATTTCTCTAAGGTAAGAATAATCTTTAAAAAAAGAAGAAGAAATGGAGGTAGAAAGTAATTTTAAAAATTTAAATTTCAAAAAAAAATCATAAAAAATAATCTCAACTTTTATTTCGTTGCGCAAAACAGAATTTCCGTTAACCCATCGTTAGAAACTTCACGGCAACCCAAAACTCGTAAATTTCAATAAAGTTGTGATTATTATACATCACAGTGAAGGGTGAGATTATTTTTTAAAGACCAGGTAAAGTTAGAATTATTTTGGATAATTTTTCCTTATTAGTGTTATTTTCATTATTATTACAACTATTATGTTCATAACTATAGTTTATAAACTATTTAATTTTTTTTATTTTTACCATGTCACTATTTTAATTTCACGATTCACACTCTTCTAAATTGATAGGTGAAAATATTTTTCAAAATTTTATAAAAAGTTTTGAAAGTCAAAATGTTTTAGAGAGAAATACTAAACTATGACTAAAACATAAAAATATACCAAGTATGAATTCGATATTTTTATTCCAGAAATAAGAGTTACAATGCAAATAGAATGTTAATCATGAAAGAAAAAATAAATTTAAATACATTATGTGATAGGTTTGAAATTCGAAGTTAAATTTTGTAATATATAAAGTGTAATTACAAATATATTCTTTCACAATAAATACTGCATAAATAAATTGAAGTGCAACGTAACCACAATAACTTTTTAAAAGTTTATATTTTAATATTTATGCTAACTTTATAGTCTAATTATTTTTTTTTGTGAAAATAGTTTTTTGTATGTGAAAAATGACAATATTTTTTTTATCTTAAAGACATTGATTAAGATAACGTGATTATTAATATGATGATGATGATAATAATAATAATAAACATACTTGGTAGGGACAATGTTACATGAAAGTTTTTATTATCATACCCCCGGATAACCATACATGGCTTTGGGCTTCTCGATTGATACTTATATTGTAGGGAAAATCATCTCAATTTCTAGCGATCAAGAAATTTAAATACAATGGGCAAAATCATATGATCGATCAAGAATAATAAACACAATAACAAGCAGTCAATAATGAACACCAAGATTTAACGTGGAGACTCCAAATCGGGGAAAAAAGCACGAATTCTTTCACTAATCACCAAGAAAATCAGTGGGTACAACCAAGAATCCTCTCTAAATCAATTAGAGGTAGATACAATCATCAAGCAACAACTTGGAATACCAAACAACGATAATCTTCACTGAAAAATGAGAAAACCATACAAAACGCAGTAGAGAAACATAGGCAATTTTTCTGGCATTAAGAGGTCAAAGCAACAATCCCACCTTTGGATATGAAGAAGAGGATGACAGCAACAACATACTAAAATTTCGTTTGGCTTTCACTCTTTTTCTTCTCTTCTTCCTTTTCTTGGCTTTCACTCTTTTTCTTCTCTGCTTTTGTGCGGTTGTTCTTTCCCTTTCTATGCGTGAAGAAAACCAAAGGAAAAGGCTACTGCCTTTTAGACATTTTCAATAAAGGTGACATCCCCACCACTCACCCATTTTTAATTTTTTCCTTTCTTTATAATTATTATTATTATTATTATTATTATTATTATTATTATTATTATTACAATATTACTCCACCTCTAAACTAATTACATTTTTAACACTATGAGCTTGTTCTCTAGCGCTTAAATTCTTAATTTCTATTTCCTTTCAGTTTCTTCCGGTTCCTTTCATTTCCTTCCAGTTTCTTTCAGTTCCTTCTAATTTATTCCAAC